GAGGTACCTTTTCCTACAATGATCTATTTGTTCTTTTGGCAGTCCATGGTGGTGGTGGTGGTTGTAGTAGTGGGCCATGGAGTTGGTTCTGACTCATAGCGACCCTCTAGGGTTTTCGAGGCTGTAAATCTTTATGGGAGCAGAAAGCCTCGTCTTTCTCCATTCTCCTCTGACACTGTAACTCAAATGCATCAATTCTTCTATGGTCTTCTGAATGTTCAGCCACTGAAAACCTTATGACTTTCAGCAAAATACTGTCAGACAGTACTAGAATATTGAATATTGACATATGATGAATTCATCCCACATGATGAGTATTTTCAGACATCATGCCAGAAGATGAACCCCTCAGGTTGAAAGCACTCAAAATACGACTAGGGAAGACCTGCCTCCTCAAAGTAGAGATGACCATGATGAAGTAAATGAAGTAAAGCATTCAGGACCTTCATTTGCTGATGGGATGTAATAAAAATGGAACATACAAATTATGATTCTAGGAAAACTGGAAGTTGTAAAAAATGAAATGGAACACATAAACATTGATATCCTAGGCATTAGCGAGCTGACATGGACTGGTGTTGACCATTTTGAATCTGACTATTGCATGGTTTTCTATGTAAGGAATGACAAATTGAAGAGGAATAGCATCACATTTATCACCCCAAAAAACATTTCAAGATCTGTCTTGAAGTATAATGCTGTCTGTGATAGGATGATATCCATATATCTACCAAGAAGACAAGTTAGTACCACTATTAGTCACATTTACACACCAACCACTAAAGCCAGTGATGATTAAATTGAAGAATTCTATCAACCACTTCAGTCTGAAATAAATCAAATATGCAATCAACATGTATTGATAATCACTCATGACTGGAATGCAAAGACTGGGAACAAAGAGGAAGGATTGGTGTTTGGGAAAAATGGCCTAGGTGAAAAATGATGCTGGAGATTACATGATAAAAAATTTCAAGACCAATGACTTCTTCGTTGAAAATACATTTTAAAAACAAAAGATGACTCTAAACATGGACTTCACCAGATGGAATACACAGAAATCAAATTGACTACATCTGTGGAAAGAGAGGGTGGAAAACTCCTTATCATTAGGCAAAACAAGTCCAGGGGCAGATTGCGGAGCAAACCATCAATTGCTCGTATGCAAGTTCAGGGTGGAACTGAAGAAAATGAAAACAAGTCCACAAGAGCCAAAATAAGACCTTGAATATATCCCACCTAAATTTAGAGACCATTTTAAGAACAGATTTGATGCATTAGACACTAATGACTGAAAACCAGAAGAGTTATGGGATGACATCAAGATTATCATACAGGAAGAACACTAAAGGTCATTGAGAAGACAAGAAAGAAGGAAAAGATCAAAATGGATTTCAGAAGAGACTCTGAAACTTGCTTTCAGCATAGAGATGCTAAAGTAGATGGAAGAAATGAGGAGGTAAAAGAGCTGAACAGAAAATTTCAAAGGGCAGCTTGAGAAGACAAAGTCAAATATTATAATGAAATGTGCAAAGATCTGGAGTTAGAAAACCAAAAAGGAAGAACACCTTACAACAACAATAACTGGTTGCAAGTTTGAACAATTTAAGACTGCTGTTGTTGTTAAGTACCATTGAGTTGGTTCCAACTCATAGCGACCCTGTATACAGGTTCTGAGGATTTAAATCTCTATGGGAGCAGAAAGCTTCATGTTTTTCTTTTCTCCCACAGAGTGGCGGGTGGGCTTGAACCTCAGATTTATCGTATCGAACCACCGTGATCCCCAATTTAAGATTGAAGAAGTTGGTAAAAATCTTCATTCTCTTTATTTTTTAGAACTAGTGGTTGGTGTGCAAACTGGAATACTAGCTATGGTAACTAGCCTTCCATTTAGGTTTATGAGTATTTGTCTATCACTGGCAGTGTTGTACTTAAGGCTAGATCTTGCAGTGTTCTTTTTTTTTTAATTTAAGGTTTTCATTGCAGATTGAGTGAAAATTTACAGGGCACATCATCAGTTTC